AGAAGGGGTGTCAAATGGGCTGAGTTAGGCATACAAAATGTTAAGTATATGATATTAAGCATTTGCTTAATGTGCTTAAGATTATTTATCTCTCTGCATTTATGAGAATGTTGTGTTGGATGAGTGGACCCACTAGGCAAGATAGGATTAGAAATGAATGTATTAGGGGAAAGTTTGAATAACTCCTATTGTAGAAAGGATGGTAGAAGCACATAGAATGAAATTGCCATTTCAATCTAGCAGGGACTTTTATCTAAAATACATCTTAGGTTTGTAGAACAAATAGCTGATATACCCACAAAGGCACTTGACAGAGTAGAGTGAACTGTCTATTTAACAAGTTCGGTATGATTAATATCTGTGACCCGCCTTGAGGAGGAGTATTGAGAGCAGGATATTAAGAATATGCTAAATGTGCTTAAGCGTTTTGTCTCGAGTACTAGTTTGTACTGAGTTATACTACACACCCATTTACTGTATATGAATACACAACCTAAACCCACCCTGGGATAAGGTCTATCGATATTTTACAAAAAATATGGTGGCTGGGCCAAAACTTTACTACCTCTGTATAACTGTGGCCTAGACTGGCCTGAATATAACCTTTTTCCCGAACTGGAATAACCTGAATTGAGCAGGGTTAGCACACATGCATGTTAGTTGTGACATGATTGGTAACTAGCTAGTGGGTTGTGTCTGGCAAGTGTATCAACTCAGCTTGTGTAACTACCAAAGAAAGGCCAAATTATCGACACTAATTGGCACATTACAGCACCAAAGTTGCCTCTGCCACCTGTGCAAAGTGCAAGCAGTGATTTCTATTGCTGGAAGTGATTGCACGGAACAGGATGTTAGGGTAAGGTCATAATTCCTTTACCTTGTGGCAAGGCAATATTTACTTGGAACAATTTGTTCTGATTCCAAAGGTACACCAAAAAAATTCCTAAAAGGTAGAACTTTTTTAACAGTGATACATGGAACAGCATGTTAGGCTCAATTCTTCCTTACATATCATGTGGCAAGGGAATATTTATTTTGAAACAATTTATTCTGATTCTGAAGGTATATAAAAAGTTTTCTACAAAGGAAAAAACTTAAGTCCTGTGTCTAGAAAGACAGTCATAGATTTCTTTTTTTTAAGTGTATGCACCAGGCCACAGGGTTGGCACACCGCCCACATCTAATCTGCACCAGCCTGAATTTCGCATCGCATGTAGCAGGCCAGCCCAAACAGATATCTCTACAAGTGACTCAAGAATCATCTTAATGTTTTTGATTAAAAATTATTTATCTAAGCAGTTATAAGGTTTGAGCTTTAGCCATAACTAGAACTATGAGCTTATGAAGACAAAATCAAGCATTACCAATTCTTATTAGGAAAAGACTTATAATCATATATAGTATATATAAAGTCACTTATAAAAATTAAAAATGACAAAGTAATAGTGTTCGCTAGTTTGAGAAGTGGCATTCTTACTTTTGCATTTCTAGTTTCTTGATCTATTTGCTTTAAGCTTTCAACCAACGATGACATATGAGAGCGCACATGACATTTGATAACATCCTCAGCCAAAATCTACAGGTATTTTATCAAAAAATCAGTATTAATCATAATTATACAGAAAACTGGTTATAAATGATCATAATTTAGGATAAAAGTGAGACATGTGGAACAGGTATTGGAGGATAAAATACTGCCGAACAATACAATGAATAAACAAAAGTAATAAATGAACTAAATATCATGAATTGTGGAGAAATTAAAATGCATGGCATAAGTTAACTTTTAAATGCAAGAAAAAACTGAGGAAGGCCTATTAAAGAATCACCGAAGGGAAGCCAACATGACACTCCTATACCAAAGTAAATGATGTTCCAGACGCTATCCAACAATGAAGGCCAGACAAGGAATACTAGTAATCCTGATCATGTGATGAATATATTGGAACTATATAATCTAGACTAGCACTATAAGTGATTAGATTTCAATGTTAAACAACATTGGCTAGTAAAACTATAGTTCACTTCCAATATTAGAAAGAGTCAATAATAACATGCATGAAATGATCAACCAGAGAAAAGAAGCTACTACATGAAATAATCACACTTTGTATCAAACTATATAAACTATGCTAAAGCATGTCAGTACTCAGTAGGACACTTGAAATAAGATTGATTTATGAATGAAAAGGAAAATTATTAAGCTCTTCTAAACACTAATGTGTTACTTTATTACTCAAATTTTGCAATTCAAAATCAACATAAATACTTTGTTTTTGTTAATCAGATGGTGCATATCCATCTTTTCGCCAATAATGTAGTTTTTTATATTTTTTTAGAAGCAAACTGTATTATGAGGAGTCCATTGAGGAGTACAAGGGGTGCTCAAACCCATTTACAAGAGGGGATTACGAAGACATCACCACTCTATCAATACACCCTAAAAGACATGAATACCATTCAGCAAATCAGACTTGTCTATAATGTAGTAAATGAATTAAATCTCAATACTTGAGAAACTTAGTTTGCATCTCAACAACAAAAAAACACTACAAGCACGCAATAAAAAATCACATTCAGTATGAACTCTACCTTAAATTTTCCTGTACTTGAAAATCTTTCACTCACAAGTGCAGCCATGTGTTTGTCCTGAATCCCATGAAAGACGCAAAAGCATAAATTTGAGATGAAGTAGAAGAGAGCAATGGAGAATCAACACTCCATCTTAACACAAAGTTGGAAAAAACTTAGACAGCCTATAATGTGATCAGTAACACTTACATTTAGTATATGCATTACGTAAAACATACAGACACACATGACACAAATAAACTCGTATTTACAGGTATACACGCATGCAAACATGAACAACTGACTAACTATATCCGTGTATCATATTTACATGCAGACACACTTGCAAACATGTACAACTAACTAACTATATCCGTGTAGACAAACTGCAAAAAAATTAACAAGTAATGTTTGTATCCTTATATTAGGAATTTAGGATTAGTTCTAAAAATGAAAAACATCAAACCTTCTCAACTGCAAGAACAAATGCGCCGGAGTTTAAAAGGACATTAGTCAAGGAACCTGTTCCGGGCCCAATTTCCAGCACCACATCACCTTGTTCAATACAAGCCACACCAGCAAGCTGCTCATTTATGTCAGAGTTCAACATATAATGCTGCAAATCACATCACCACCCAAAAAAAAAATCAGAAGAAAATTAATTTCAAACCCAGAACCCCCAATGAAGTCCCCAAAAAATTCCCGGAAAATTGTCTCCAAACAAATCGGCTTTTTGAGTGTGAAAACACAAACTACAAAATTCAAGCCAGACCAAGCACAACCAAGCACACCCACCCCATGTTCGATAAAATGACTCAAGTACACACCAAACCAATTTCTTAAGAACTCACTTCCAAATTAAAAAAAACAAAGAGGACAGTCAGGACACTCAATTTTCGGTGCGATACAACACAAAATTGATGCAACATTAACACACCCACTATCTATTCGACAAAACTTCTGAACGAAGCAACCAAAACAATTCCTAAAAAAATCACCTTCAAACACACAAAAAAGTGATTTTGAGTGTAATACACCATAAGTATTTTAAATTTCACTTCACAGCCACAATTGTGGCCGCCATTGATTTAAATTGCAGAGCGAATTATCTGATGGGCCACATCAGGCCGCATCGGATTCAAAAATGTTGTTTTAATAACAAAACAATTTACACCACGACGGCCGCAATCCGCATGCCACAATGACTGCAATTGCAGTAGCTGCAATTGTTACCACAATCACGACCTTAACTGCAATTTAAAACACTGGCAGCCGCTATATTGCTATTTCAGTCGGCACCGCGATACAACAGCAATAACAGCAACCGCAATTCAAAACATTACTACGAGTGAGAGAAACCTGGCCAAGGGATTTTCTGGGGAATCTTCCTTTGGAGTTAAGAGCTTTTAGTGTTCCATGGTAGTCGTCAGTGCTTGTCCTCTTTACTCTGCCACCTCCTTCAGCGCAACATACATATATCATTCGCCGCCGTGAGCCAGCGGGGACAACGAACGCCGGTGACGGTGGTTCAAGACGGTGGTTGAAAGATATTGGCGGCAGCGTTTGAAGATTGGAAAAGGATAAATGAGACATTTTTTCTTTTTCCGTTATTCGTTATTTCAGTTGGAATGTGTTTTGAATATTTTAAGGAGAAGAGTTGAAGAGAGTGAAACACTCATTATCATCATCTTCATCGAGAGTTTAGATTTTCTATGTGAGTTGGGTAATTTTTTTACATTATTTTGCTTTGAAATAATTTAAAATATATACTATTAAAAGATTATAAATACTATATATTATCATGTTGATCCAACATTTGTTGATTCCTTTAATTTAATATAGCTTTATATTTAGCTACTTGGGAAAGAGAAGTCTACCTTAACATGTTACCATGATTCAATCATATTTGGATTTGAAAATGAACAAATTTCATAGGATAATTGAATTCGAATTTAAAAATTAAATCTGATCAATATTTAGAATTGGATAATAGAAAAACATTATTCGGTCAGACGCATCTCCAGGTTCATTCATCATCTTTTTACTAATTGTATATGTGTATATTTAATTGTGTACATATTAATTGACTCACAATATTATTGATTCTCTAATTTTTCACCTTATAATTAACTTAACAAAATATATATATATATATATATATGGGGTTTGCTAACCTAGAGAATGAGGTTTTTTAGTTTGTGCAGGTTAGCATTGTGCACCACTTTTGGACAAAATTAATCCTCATATTTTAATTGTAATAAAGTTAGCAAAAATGATAGTTTTATAATTTCCATTTCAAAAAATTCACCCATCGTCCCTAAATTTCTTTTCTCTTTCCCATTAATTTACAATCCCAAAACACCCAAAAACTTTTCTACCATGACACCAAATAATCTCTATTCGCTCCTTCAACTATTTCTTCCTAATAATTTGTCTTCACCGGAAGTATTTATTTGTTTAACTTATCAAAAGCAATAATATTTTCTGGTGTAAATATTATCCAAATAAATTCTACCCTCGAACCCTTCGATCAAAGCAGTGCAGTTTTTCACTCACCAAATCCTTCTTCACATTCAAGTAATTCTCATTCTCTTTTTCATTTTTTGTGTGTGGTGAATTCGTTGAATGAAAATTGAAAGTCTGATGTTTCGTTTTCGCAGGTTTGGAATTTGATATGCAGAAGAAGTCGACATTGCCATTGAATGACGGAAGACACCACCACATTGCCGATCACCGCATCGCCACACACCGCATCGCCACATTGCGGTGTGCAGCGATGCGGTGGTGTGTTGCGATGGTCGGCAATGTAGTGGTGTGTTGCGGTGGTCGGCAATGTAGTGGTGTTACAGTGTGCGGCGATGCGGTGGTGTGTTGCGGTGTGCAGCGATGTGGTAGTCGGATAAGTAACACTGGAAAACTTTATAAGGTCAGATTCGGGTTCAAAGGATAGTTTGATCGATATTTGGGATCAGATTGGTTTCAAGCATAGTATGGGTTCAAAAAAATATAACATTATGACATTGTTCGATGCATATAATCAAACTCACTTCCTAGAAGACTTGGTTGTTGGTAATTTTGTAAGAGTGTAATATCTATGCACTTAAAAATGTAAAGATTTATACACATTAAAAATGGATGGTGGATGATGCAGCGTAAAAATCTATTACACTATCAGTATATACATTTTTTTTCCTCGGGTTTATTTTCGTTTTAGTACACAAAAAAAGATTTTTTTTCTGATGTTAAGGACCCAATGCATAGGAGTCAACAAATGTCAAAATTAAAATTAAAATAAAATTTGAATAACAAAAAATTAAGAGAAAAATATGTATACACTGACAGATGAGCTTCTATACACAACTATGTATGTATGTCATAACAACTATAATGTTGAGAGGGAGAGTTTTCTGCATTTAGGATTTGAAGGGTATTTTTCAACACAAAAAAAAAGTTATGATTATTTCCCTCAACATTTAACATGGTTAACAAAATCACTACATGTGAAATACACCTCTTTAAACATTAGGGTGTACATAAATATATGATGCATGCTACTAAAAATGATTCAAGAACCAACTTGCAAACCCTTTAACTGTACCATGAATATAAGGTTTACATGCAAGTCTTTACTTACAACTTTATTGCCTTATTGCTTCCACAAGTCCCAAGATGTTCAAAGTTTAAACATATATACTAATCAAACAAAAGGCGACGCCTCACAGATTTCGGAAGATTAGGACCCGACACGTTCCTTTTCCTTGTCGAGGCTTCACTCTCTTCGGTATCAGGTTTCTTGGATGACTCTTGTTGTTTCGACTCGTGTTTAATTTTGGTTGATGGATAGAACTTTGTAATGTTGAGTTGGATACTTTTGGAGTTTGGTGATTCTGAATTTTCATTTTCATATTCTTGAGATCTTGAAGTAGAATTCCTTTTTCTTTTCAAATCCTTCTGTTCCTGCAAATCACAAGCACCAAGATGTATAAAAAAGAATAGTGAAGTAACTACTTCATATTATATGATATATGTTGAATCTATCAACAACATAAGTTTTTAAATTAATAGATTACAGAGAAAAATATTGAATAATAATAAACTCGATTTTATCAAGTTGACCTCGAAAACTTTATAATTCTAAAACAAGATTTTCATTTCTTACTATGAAGCATCAGAGATCCAGAAAAAGAATATATGAACATTCAATTTACCGAAAAGAAAATCGGAAATATTATAAATACCTGTTCCTGCCAAAATCTTTTAACTTCTTCGGGAAAAGCAGCCGCTACAAGGTCCATATTTTCATCTGTCAACAAAAAACTGCACCCGTCGTCCACGTGAATCATTGGAACATCACAGTCATCCAGTAGATCCACCAATTTGTCAAGCTCTACAACATCTTGTTGCGTGCCAGACCCATTTGAACGAATTGCATACGTGAAATTTCCCGCTGCTCGTTTCCACTTTACCACGTAAAACTGAAATCCGTTTATAATCTTTGCACGGTGTAATGAATCAAACTCGTATTGCCCGAATAACAAACTTTCTACTGTAGTAGAAGCTTTATCTCTCAAAAACATGGTGGACATCATAGGAAACATCAACCGCTGAATGTACGACGGTTCCCAATGCTGATGGAAGTTTAAAAAATCAATCAGCATCTCAATATTGGGTCTCTCCCATATCATGTGAGGGCCATTGATTGCTGCAAAAATCGAGGTGGCGTTTATTGAACAAGGAACACACAATAACATATAAACAACCTTAACTGAGAGCAATGTCATCCAAAAAAATATAACATAACATTCAATTATGAATTATATCGAATCACAGTTCATCTTACCAGAAAAGTGACCATTATCGCTACATAAATACATATTAATGATTTCATCATTGGGAAAATTTGACTCCTCCGCAATCTTGTGACAAACTTTTGTGTGCCAAATTTCGAGCCTTTTCTGTTCCTTATGCTTCCTATTCTGCCAATCAAATAACATTAACTTAAGTGCGTTAAGAAATTACAGCAAGAAATGAAATTGCAGAAAACTTATATTCTTCGAGCAACAACAAGGGATTTAAGGGAAAGGCTCCTCCAAAGTGTAGAGTATGAGCACAGGTATATCCACCCTTGATTTAATCTAAATTGCATTATAATCACAACCTACTAATAATCTAAGGGTGGATACGCCATTGTTCATATAAGCTCACTTTAGAGGCGCCTTATCCAAAATTCAGAAACCAAATCAATGACATGGAATTCTGGAACCGTAACAAATTGCAAAGTGACTAAACTAAAGTAACTGAGAGTGAGAGGCCATACCATACCACATGAGAAGCATTTGCATTTAAAACCTTCTTCTTTTAGTATGCAACCTTCGCCATCATTTGATATACAATATTCACACGAAAACCTGATATGATCTCGTTTGCTACCCGGATGCCCACAGAATGAGCAATGAGATTGTTTTGTATTTGGGGAGTTCCCAGCTTTATGCATATTGTCCTCCGATTCGGTGCTGATGGGAACTTGTAATGCATTCCCTTTGCCTATCTCATGTAATCTGCATTGAAGATTGTTCTCAATTCATTATGCCGAGGTGGAAAAAATTACCTCAGCCACTGTTTCACACCTAAAGCTAAAAGCTATGATATACCTCTCTCGATGATTGGAAATATTAAATCAAAATGGGGTAATGTTACAAAAACCTCAACGGAAAATGAAATTAAGAGGAAATGTCATATCAAAATTCTCAATTAAGGACGAATTTATAATATTAAAAATTTCAACAGGAGGGGTGCATGTAATTTGTCCGGTCTCAAGGGGGTGTTCTGTGATATTTAGAATTTGGGTGATATGTGCATGCGTATGCATGTGTGTGTGTATTTCACTCGTAAAGATTTATACCTATTCAATATATCATCTTCGTTAAATGCCTGAACAAAATGAAGAGCAGTCTCAAGCCCAACTCCTCGAACACCATTCATATCATGATCATTTCCAACCAAAAGAGAGATTGCTATTAATTGTTTCCTCTTCAACCCAAGGCCGGTTTCAATATCTGAGATATTGTAACATTCAAATGGTTCCTGTATGCAATGAATTTCTCAAACTTGATAAAAAATGAAAGAAAACAAAATTATCATTTCATGACAGTGCTAAGTTATGGGAGATGAGATAGAGAAAATTCAACAAACTAATATTAATTTTTTATTTCAAAGCATAACATGAAAGACCAAATGAAGAATTTCTTTTACGACGGGACAGATGAGGGAGAAGCAAGGGGGTGTCATATGAGTGTGTCAGTTCTTATCTAACTCTTATTATACTAATATTATACTACTGATTAAATAAGGGCGCGAATCATAAAAGATAAAATAAAATAATCTCGATCTGAAGAGTTCTTCTAAGATACTCTCTCAATCCTACAAGATTTTCTGATATACTCTAAACAAATCTAATATATAATCATCATAATACGAGATATTCTCTCTATATCTAATATCATATGGATATTCTCTATAATATAATTTAAGATATTTTAAAACACTTTTATATATTCTAAAGATATCATAAATTAACATTGAACTATAAGTGGCTAAATAATTGTAAGTTCGTAACTTTTATGCTAAAAACACTCAAAAGTCAAGCAACCTCAGGAAACAATACCATTTAGGAAAATCCATCAGACATAAAATCACATCGAGTAAGCAAAGAGGAAAGCAAGCACTATAATCAAACCGATAAATCATATGTTATATTATAAATTGTCGAGGGATGGAATGAAGTATAAATGAAATGTAATCAAGATGACCACTTACTTTGGAATTTGGGCGGAAAGACTTTATAATGCATTTGGCTCCAAAAAGGAATGCATCACTGTCAGCTGTAATGCAAGCATCTACATGACCTTCACTATTTAATTGGGCACAGAGTGCTTCGGCCTCTCCTTTAGCCTTTAATACAGGCATACCAAGTAGTTCCACAAGTTCCTGCAACCGAACAATATGAAACTAACATCAAGGTCTTCTAAAAGATAAAAAACTACATCTAGATCTTTGAAGTAAATAACTGAAGTAGTGTTCCTGATACAAAATATAGAAGGAACTTTTGGGAAGAAAATTTGAATGAATTTACACATTTAGCAGCTAAAAATGCCCAAATATAATCTGCAGAATAATTTCAAGATCGTGGTATCAATCAAGTTAAAGAAGTATTGTACCACACATTCTTGAACACATCTTGAAAATGAACGGTTCCTCTCAGCTGATACACCTTGTTCAGGCACCGGCAAGCTAGTCAATTCAATGCCAGAATTCCGGAAAAATCTCGCAATCCTAGCCTGTGACTTCAACGGCGATGGAGTCCCATCAACTACAAACACCGGGAATGCTCCAAACTACAAAAAACAATATTTCATCATCAAAACTCTCTTTCACGCCTAGTTTGACAGTTGCATGCTAACTTAGAATACATGCAGTGTTTTATATTGCATTCCACAACGGCAATCACAGCCACAATATTGCAGTCTCAAAGTCTCCGCAAGGCATCACGACCACATCGGTGACAATTTTTCGCAATCGCAACACAACCACACATACATGTGTAAAAGAAAAATAACTCCAAATCACAGATACCCAACTCAAGTACTACCAAATTTTAATCATTAAGCCTCAATTGGTGTTTACTAAAAGGAATGATATACAAAGCAAAACCAAAAGGGTTAAATGGTTAATTAACTCACTACCATTTGACAATCAAACTAAGTAAAGTAACTGTTGTGTTTCCCCAAGTCTGAAGTCACACATTGAATATGTGGGGGAGCAAAAGAGTTTAGAAGTAG